TGGAAAGTCAATCTTTGGGCAGCTCAAAAGTGCCACTAACCCACTTTTGATGTTTACATCTTGACTTGTTATTTTTAATTTCCACATTTTAATTTCGACATAAGCATTATCATGTTCAACTGGTGGTAAATAAAACTCAACCAAATTCTCAAATGATATTTTTTCTGCATCAGTAAATGTTAAGCTAAATAAACATTCAAACTCTATAAAAATATACAAATTATAATATTTAATACCAATTTTTATATTAACCTAGATAAATCAATATACCTATTACCTTCAAAAACGGATTTATGATTTAAAACTCTAGTTGTAAGTTGGTTGATAAAATTGTCAATAAATGGCATAAACACTGTCACTCTATAATAATCTTCGGATTATTTTTTTGCTTACTGTCGGCACCGTCTCCGCTCAGAATCGTTTTTCTTATACAATGATATTATATCATTGAATTCAAATTTAATACCATCCATTATACAGTGACCCACTTGTAACCTACTGTACAGCAGGGCATCTTTTTGTTTTTGCATATTTAAGTGTATATTTCAATGATATAACCAATGTATAAATCCATATATATTTCGTATGTTTTTAGTACCTACACATAATTCCGGGCCTTACTTATTACGTTATTTTATATTTTATACACATCAATAATATCATAAATAAAATATTTTTATTACGTATTTATTCATACATTTACACTTAAATTTAAATCATATTATTTATAAACTAAAACTAACTATTAAATTGTAATTTTACTATTTGCTTATAATTTTTATGTAATTAAAAAATTATAGGTATATTTGATGTTTCAGATTTTTGGCTACGGGAGATTCCTTTAAGACAATTTCATTTAGTTATCGTCTAGGTCATACAACTATTTATAGAATTGTAATTGAAACTTGTAAAAGTATAGTTACAAATTTAATGTCAGAAGTAATGCCATCACCCACAGAAGAAAGATGGAAACAAATTGCAAATGATTTTTGGACCAATTGGAATTTTCCTAATTGTATAGGTGCGTTGGACGGAAAACATACGTCTCTATTTAAGCTTCACCACATACTGGTTCAAATTATTTTTACTATAAAAAAACATTTTCTGGCGTGTTACTTGTATTAGTTGATGCACAGTACAATTTTATAGCCGTAGACGGGGGCGCTTATGGAAAAAACAGCGATGGTGGAATATTAGCACACTCTAACTTGGGAAAATCGTTAGAAAACGGTTCGCTAAATATTCCAAAAGATGGATTTTTACCTTTAACCACCATCTCTGCTCCATACGTTATATTATGAGACGGAGCGTCTCCTCTGAAAACGTACTTGTTGCGACCATATCCAGGGAAGCAACTAGATGATTCTTCAAAACAAATCGACAATCATCGTCTTTGCAGAACTCGTAAAGTAGTGGAAAATTGCTTTGGGATTTTAGCACAAAAGTTTCATGTTTATAACAGGAGGATACAATCGAAGCCAGAAAATGTGGATTATATTATTTTATCAACATGTGTTCTTCATAATTTCATAAAAAAATGTAATAATAGTGTCACTGAAAATGTTCAAAATATGAATGATCTAACTTCAAACATAACTTTGAATGATATACCTATGCAAGGAGGTGGTGCTGGGCGAGCAGCATTTGCAACTCGAGAACTATACAAAAATTGTTTTAATTCCTCAGCTGGTTCAGTGCCTTGGCAAAATGAAAAAATGTAATTAAGTGTATTTTGTACAATAATTATTTAATTAATAATATTATTTAAAATAATATACCTATATTATTAACTCAATCGTATTAATATTTGAATTGATACGATTTGTTTTGAAAAAAAAACACATTGACATTCAAGTTGATTTATTGAATTTTGAATGTAATACATATTATTATAATAATTATTAATTAGTAATTACCTATATTTACGTTATAAAATACATTTATTGCATGGAATAATAAAACATAGATACCTATTATTTATTTTTTGTCACGCCTGCACCGAAAGTTTGGTTTTCGACCACGGTTGAAGAGTTCGAAAGCGTCCTTTTTCCGTCCAGCGGGCGGTAAAGTGGAAATCCCCAAAGTGCCGGGCGGAAAAGAGGAAATCCCCAAAAGTGCCGGGCGGAAAAGAGGAAATCCCCAAAAGTGCCGGGCGGAAAAGAGGAAATCCCCAAAAGTGCCGGCCGCCGGGCGCGTATCCCCTGCACAACCAGAAAGTAAAATGTATACCTACCACGGTTCTTACAAAACATAAACTTTTGGTTACATCTTAAATGTATAGTATAACCTCCTTGCATGACGCATAGATCCCTGCATAACCTTTTCCATGAACGCAGGGGCGTGACAAAAAATAGTATGTGTGGCTCGCGCGGGAAGGCCATTTCAGTCTTGTGCGAAATGCGGCACTCGCCTACGGCTCGTGCCGCACACGACGCCCGCGACTGAAATGGCTCACTTCCCGCCCTTGCCACACAATATACTATTCTATAACCAATAATCTAAACAAAATTTTATCAATGTATAAAAAAATGTTATCTTCAAAATTTGGTGTTCGAAATAGTACCTGAACATTGATTTTTAAATGAATCTTAAGGGTAAAAAAAAAACCATTCGATGAAAAAATACAATATTCAAAAATGATTCTGAGGGTTCTATAATTAATTTATGAATTTTAATTTTTTGATGTTTTAGATGCCATGAGAACAAATTTTAACTTCAAATATATTTTGTTGGTAAGGCGCAAAAAATTTTTTATGTATACTTATCAACTAAGGAATTTCGTTATTTTTGTATTCGATTTTGATTCTCAAATATTTAAATTGGATGTTTTATACATTTTTAACTATTTAGTAGTTAAATTACTACTCATTATTTGTAAATAATATTAATTATTATAATATAATATAATAATAATTAATTATAATAATATAATACGGTAGGTATAATCAATTTAAAACAAATTTGTCAAATTTAGATAAAATTCAAAATTTAAATTTAAATAAGTCACTTGGAAGTCACTGGTATGTGCAGTTGAAGCTCGCCAAGTGCAGACTGTCACAAAAACAAATCGCATGGCTGTTTACATTGTTCCGTATTTTCCATATCCGTATCAGTGAAATTCCCAAAAACATTGTCTCCGACAAATTTTAAAATAAGGAACGGACATGTATAAACATGCCCATTTCATAACGAGTAAACAAACTTTAAACGTCGGGCACGGAACGGACGGTACGGATACGGAACAGTTATGTGTAAATAGATCTTAAATCTGGGCCAGCACTAAGGCCAGCACTGGGTTAGAAATAGTCAATAGACAAGAGATGTAAATAGTAAATGAAATATTTAAGTATATTTTAAAGGCTATATTACCTATATTATATTATGTATACGGTTTTTATTTTATTAAATTGAATTTTCTTATTTTTCTCTTCGAATGGCTTTGAGATTAAATGTTGTATACACATTACACAAATACATAATATGCACAGCAGTGGCGTAACTGGATAAAAATCTAGGGGGGGGGGGGGTCAATAAAATTAACCTCCCGTTTGTCCGTTCCTATAGTCATAATCGCGATTTCAAGAATATAATAATATTCAACAAGAGAAACCTAAAAAAAATATAAACTTTTATAAAGTAATTAGAGGAAAAAAATATTTTAATATTATAATATGTTATGTTTAGAGCTGGGCCGATAATATTTTTTTCCGATATCCGATATTCTGATTTATATTGCCGATATAAAACCGATAACCAATCCGATATTTTATTTCCATGAACCGATATAAAAAAAACTTAAAAACCTGATATATTTTTCAAAAACTGATGCCTGATATAAAAAAATAATGTAAGTATGTAACCATATAAATCATGTGATATATTAAAACATATTAGATTTCCCCAAGGAAAATTAATAATTAATAACCTTAAATTTTCTTTTAGTTGAATAACTGGACAAAAAAATAAAACAATATAATAGTAATACAAAATTATAAATATTAAAATAATCAAACTTGAAATCACTATACTAAGTAATAAATATTAAATCATTATTAATTAAAAATTAAAAAATTTATACATTTAAAAATTGAATTTAATGATACTATAATAATTAATAATTTTTGGCATATTATCTTTATCAACTTTTATTTATCAATAAAACCATAACCTCGGTAAGCAGGAAAAAAATTAAATAAACGGAATTTAATTTAAATTGTGATTGCATCGTGTTTGCTATGTTTACCAAATTATTTATTGTTTATATTATAATATTATGTTAAAAAACCGGCCAAGTGCGAGTCCTACTCGCTCACGAAGGGTCCCGTACCATCATCAGCTATGTTGGTAACACTGCTTATATTATATATTCTAGGATTTTTAGTATTGAGGAGAAGTAATGCTAACGTGGTTCCTCTTCCGTCCCTCGATTAACTCGAAAAAAAAAGAAACATAATCTGTGAAAATTTCAACTTTCTAACTTTCATGGTTCATGAGATATAGCCTGGTGACAGACGGACGGACGGACGGACAACGTAGCCTTAGTAATAGGCTTCCGTTTTACCGTACTGAACCCTAAAAATAGCATTATCGGTATAACCACCACCATTACATACAAATTGATATGCAACTGCATTATATTGGTTTCACTATCGGTTTTTTTTCAATCCGATAGGTACCCTATAAAGCGATAGTACCAATATAGGGTATCAGTATCGGCTCAGCTCTAATTATGTTAACAGTCTTGTTCATAATACTTTTTATACGTGGGTTATTTGGGGGGGGGGGGACAGTGCCCCGCAATTACGCCACTGATGCACAGGTACATAATATAAATAAATATATGTACATATATATATCGCACAGCTCTATGTTGTTAAAATAGAATATAAATATAATAAATGTAAATAATAAAATTATTATATATTATCGAGGCGACAAAATGCTGTTGCGTCGTCGGGCCGTATTATAAATAACAATATTTTTCGTGTGCCGGTGGTCGGTCAGACGGTTCGGTCGTCTTCGTCGTCGTCCTCCGATCCGGTGCAACTGCTCCTGAGCGACCTCGTCTCGTGAACCACGTCCAGCCTGTAGCAGAGGTCGTCGTTGTCCTGGGCCGCGGCCCCACCGTCCCTGTCCAGCAGTAATTTGTAGTACGTGTTCATCTCCTTGCCGGCCACGACGGCCGCGGGTATGGGCACGCGTATCGTCGGCGTCGTGTCCCGAGTGGTCAGCGTCTGACTCTCGCGGCGCCACGCCGACGAGTTACGGTGCCTCAGCTTGTCGTCGACGGGTATGAACAGAGACGCGAACACGGTGAGCGCGACGAACGCCACGCCCCCGACCAGCAGCGCGTACTTGAGCCCGTCGAAGAAGACCGGCCCGACCCGAAGGTACACGAAGAACTTGGTCAGCATGCTATCGGGTAGCTTTTCGAATCCCTGAAACGCCACACAAGACAATATTGTTTTAGAAATATATTTTGACATGACTTGTATATGATGTGCCGATTGTCAGTATAATATTGGGTTACCATATTATTAAAGCAACCTCATTATATTTTTTAGATTTTGCGATGAATGCATTAAATTTACAAGACATACCATGTACCGATGTATCGATACTCCTTGATTTAAATAGTTTTTCCTTTTGTAGGGTTTTATTTTTTATATTTTACTATTTGGATACTTTTTTTTACAGACGTTGTAAAATCATATTATTAGTACATATTATTATATCATTTTTTTTTTATCATTTGCAGGCTATATCCACTTTATGAAATAAAATACCCAATTTTATAACAATATTATGTTTATATTTTTGGCGTTTATTTATACATTTATTGAATATGTTATACAACTAAAACCCAAATATTTTGAAAAGAGGAGAACTTTGACTGAATTATTGGTTTTATTTTTTCGAGATATCTTTTAAGAAAATTAAAAACGCATACAATATTATACACGGCCAAAGTTATTCTCTTTTTGTGATGAAAATGTGGGTCGCTACATGGATTGTGGCCCGAGTTGTTTTTAATCGTGTGAAACGTTACTATTTAATAACATATTTTGGATGATTAATAATCATTGATTATACTGTTCAGCTAAATACGTAATACTTGGGCCGTTCTGGTACTGTATATGTCTCCTTTAAGATGATTTATCGAGATTTTTGATTAGAGTAGGATAAAAAGGTATGTTCTGATGGCTTATCCCTTTGTCCCTCGTCCATGAGCCACACCCCTTGAGCCTTGAGCATTGCTCGTAAGCTGTTCCTTGCAGAGCCCTGAGCCCACCGTCCACCACACCCGCCGACCGCTCGCGTACGTACGTGACGTATATTTACCCTCCTCAACCCACCTACAAAGCTACCTGATCCGCCACCCCACTCGACACATGACCAACATATATTTCTCTCGTATGGGAAAACGCTTGCACGCACGCGCATGCAAAGACTCACATGATCAATCTTTTTTTTCGTTAAATAAATAATGAAAAAAAAGACTGGGGGGATTCAAACCCTAGACCCCATCCCACATAACTAACGCTTTAACCCACTAGGCCATGGACCCCATATAGTATACCTATGTATGATCCTTACGTATATAGCTGTATCCGTCATGAACCCATCACTCGACTCGTCACGTGACCAAAACATATTATTGTACAACCAAGATATTATTGTACATACCATATTATTGACTATTGTGCAACCACCATATTATTATACATACCATATTAATTATTATTTTACATTCCATATTAGTGTACACAAACCCCATATTATATTCGAGCCGCCGAACTTAAGTCAAACGTAATGTATAAATATTTGAAGGTTACATTGCATATTTTTTCTGAAGTAACCTACCTGTACTTATCTATTTTATAACCAAAGAGCAAATCTTTTTTACAACATTTTTAACATACACTATGTCAGTGCACCAAATTGTAATTTTTATTGTTTCACCAATTTGAAAGGATTTAATTTTTTTAACACACATAATTATACCAATGTGAGTACCTATAATAATTATTATATACTATAATTAATGCATTAAGATTTTTAAAAGTGGATTATATAATTTGTTAAAAATGATTTGAATATAATTTAGCAAAGCACCTCACCTTTTTAAAATGTCTATCCTTTAATGAATAAATTGCGCATTTAATATGTATAGTATTAAAAAAAACTTTGAAAACGGCTCATTCGAAGTTCAATAATTTATTGATGAAATTTATTAATTTCAACAAAAGATTATCTACCCAGTAATGTACAGTATAAAAATAAGGTTTATTTGGAAAAAATAATTTTGTGAGGACACTCTAGCATAAATAATCTAAATAATTAAAAATCTAGTATTTAAGTAAACTTCAAATTTTCAAAAATGTGAATTTAAATAAATGCATAATCTAATTGGAAATGTTAGTTTGTATGAATACTGCTTAGTGAATCAATTATTTGTCTATGTATAATATATATAGACATTATATGCATTGTATATGTATTGTAATTGTATAATATTATGTTTAATGTATACCTAACAGTTACATGGTACAAGGAATTGTTTAAGAAAAACTTCAATTGAAGTTATAACAACCGACTTTCCAATAATTAGAATCCAAACTGGGTAAATTAATTTGAAACAGATAACTTGTTCACGTACTATACCGACCTATTTTCAGTGTTAAAATATTATTCAAATTCTCCATTTATTAGAATTGCGCGTTAACCTCATGTCCTCATTAGCGTCATCGAGATAGCCTTAACTAGCTGTGAACCTATTAAAAGTAATAATTTATTCATTTTGTATCAGATAAAATTAAAATGTAATATTTCATATCATTCGTCTTGTAATGCAATTATTTTTATTTTTTATTTTATTGTGAAACGTCCATATGACTTATTTCTGTTAATTATTTAGCATTTAACGGAAATTATTTATCCGTTTTATTTACTGTTCTATGTTGTGTAGTTACTTATTAATTATTATTATTACATTTTATGTTGTCCCATTATTATGAGCGTATAGTCATAATAAATAACGACAGAATGATATTGTGAGCTAAATAAATGGGCAGGTACTTACAATATCAGTCCAAAGTAATGGTACAACCAAGTTACTAAAATTTTCCATATTTGCCATGTCCGACATGTCACCTAGAACAATGTTAATTTGCAATTTGACGTACACTTGTGTGGACAAACCCGTTTCCTATATAAACACAAACAATAGGTAGTAAATAATACAATAAATTGTAGTTACACTTTGATTTTCGATCTCTGGAAAACACACCACAGCAACATGGAATGTAATCATCGTAATATTATATTATATATTACTATAGGTACCTACTTATTTTTTGATTAAAATTATTAGGTATCGTCTTACCTCGTTGATGAAAAAATAGGTTTCGTGCTGTTTTTGATCAGGAGTCATTCCGTCGATGGCGTCTATTAACGATTGGTCGGAGTTGTAAAAGTGAGGGTAAGACAATGCGACAGGAAAACCTTAAAACAAAACCAAAATAGAGTTGAGCTTTAAAAATCTGCTTATAACCGGCTGTTGAGCATAAAATAAATTGATGCGTATATGACGCCGTATAGTATCATAATAATATAATATACAGTCAAGTATTTTTCAAACGGAAATAGTATTGCAAGGGGAGAAATCGATTTTAAATATCAATAAAAATCGTAAAAAAGATTTAAGAAATCAGAAGTAATATCAAAATCAAATATTTCTTTTGATGATAACTGATAAGTATTCAAAATTTATATTGAAATTGAAAAAAAGAAAAATTATGTTCAAAATCCAATTAAAAATCATAATACAATTAAATTGATATTTTGCAACACTGCAACAATATAAAAATCATAAAATCATAATATAAATATTATTTTAAATTTAAATCAGAAAAAACAAATATCGATAAGTAAATTTGAATTTGAATTTAAATTAAGTCCCTTAGTAGGTATTGTAGGGTAGTTGACAATCTTACCATAAAAACAGTCGGTGACATCGACCAATCCCGGTTTCAAACATTTGTTTTTACGGCAAAAACACTTATTAGCCGGGTTGTTGGCACCGTTGTCCAATGATCCGTCTTCGAAAATATATTTATTCACTGGCAAGCCATCGTGCAAAAACAATTCACTATTTTTTACCTAAAACCGATCGTAAAAAATAAGCATGAGTGTTATTCGTGTTGATAGCGTTTAGTGATGGTTACACATTTTATCTGTTCATCGAAACTAAACGAAATCACCACAAAGTTGAATACTTGAATTCACTACAATGTATCAGTGCAAATGGAATGTGTTTGTTAAGAGGACGACAAACCACAACTTCTCAAGTGGTTGGACATGGTAAACCTTATCGACATTTTAAGAAAAATTTGAATACCTACTTACTCAAAATAACTTACACATTTTCAAAGCTTAAAAGTTAAAAGTTCTCGTCTCTTTATGATTAATTATAGCCTAAGTGGTTGTTGCACAAGTAAAACAAGTTTCAAAAAAGATTTATATCTTTTAAAAAAAAATCTAACTTTTGCATCCCCGGGAGTCCAGAAGCAACTGGTGGTTTGTAGTTATACGTGCACCATAATACGTACCATCGGAATTGCCCTGCAAAGAGACTTCCTGAAGAACACCAGTTGTGTGCTGTTGTCTGTTACAGATGGGTACTTAATACCATCCGTAGAACCCGAAATTTTGTTGCAATGGGCTTCTGGCCATTGTGGCAGATATGGTTTATTGTTGTAGTTGTCTATAGTCCCGGACTTGGCCGCGTCAGATGAGCCTGTGTAAAACGTTGCAGTGTCGCCGCTGAAGTCGTACATCTGAAAAATGACACAAAGTAAGAACAACGATTACTTCAAGTCTCCCTCAAAAGAAAGAAGCTACGAAATGAATAAAATATGTTAGTTTATAGCTAAATAATTTATATTATATTATATACGCATTAGACAACATTGTTAATGGTAGTATTTTGGTCATATAGCAACAGAAGTTGAAACTGATTACCGGCTAACAGATTAAGTTAGGGAAAACAAATTCTTCGAGATTTTAGCAGAGTTCCTGGTTTCTATACTTTAATGCAGTGCTTGAATTGGAAAAAAATAGAAGGGGATGCAAAAGTATAAAACATTTGTGAGTCCCCGAACATTTAAATGTCTTATTGTTAAGTGGTAGCATATGTCTCCCCCCCCAGCAATAATGATATTTTACATCATACAGCAATGAAAAAAATTTTATTTTTATTTAAAAATTAAAAACAAAAATATTTTAAAATACATAATAATAATTGTTATTTGTTTTATAAATTTAAATATGCCCATACATTTTTATATGAATGATCTATGTCATGTTCGTCTCGTTTTGGACTTCGTGTTTCTTCTGCACTTCTTTTACCTTTTTTAATCCAACTTTTTGCATAGTGGTCTGGTTTAAACAATTTAACAGGTGGTTCAACACAACTAATAAACACTAATGATGCTATGTGTTCAGAAGTTAGTACGTCTCCCCGTGAACACCCCCACAATTCAACCACTGCTTTAATGAAAGAAAATATCATATGATTGAATAGCAATTAGAAATACAAATAGGTACTTACCTATAATATTATTAGTAGTTATTACAATAGTAGTGAACATGCGTCGTCAAATGTAAACATTGAAATAATATTATTGAAATTCAATTTCCCTATACATATTTTAATCAGGGCTAAAGTATTTTCAGTTAGAACCAACCACTATGATTTAGAGATATTTCAACATTCCTAAGAAAAGCAACAACTTTATCTATAAAATACATTACCATTGAATAATATAGGTACCTAATAATATAATGCTTTAATAAAAATTTATAATAATATAATAAATCACAAGAACGTACCAACTACCAACCTATGTTATTAATAATAAATACTTTGCCAAATACTTTACAAGTTTACTGCATATCTCTTATTATGATTTGTGTTCAATGTATCTCAATGGTCACCCACCGAAAATAGTTTACACATACATTATTATTAAATATAATAATGAACTACTCAGAACTAGGGGTCGAAATTTCAAAAAAAAAATGTTTTTCCGAAAAAAAACCCAGGTTTTTTCGGTTTTTTTTTCTGAAAAATTGGGAAAAATTGGTTTCATTTAAAATTTCCTGAAAAATTGTTTTGACGAAAAAAAATGGGTTTTTTACCCGAAAAAATTGAAAAATTGAATCAAAAATGGTTTTTTTTTTTAAAACCGAAAATTAATATATAGTGGAAACAATCTAGTAAATAATGATAGCTTATAATCATATTACATACATATTATATATTATATATTTTAAATTTTCACTGGTTGTTTATATTTGCATTTTCTATACACGATAACATTTTCAAAATATTTTGATTTATTTTGAACTGTTTAGGGACATTTTCATTTTCCATTTTTTTTTAGTTTTTTTTCTAAAAATTTCAATAAAATTTTATTGTTGGTTCGAAAGCTTGAAATTTAATAGAGGCTCCTATAGTGTTCAAGGCTGAAAATATTAAAAATCCGGAGTCAGTTTTTCTTACATTTAAGTTCAAAATGACGGAAAATCACGAATAGCAAATTATTTTGAAGTTAAAATTGTAAAAATTTTTTCTTTTAATCTAAGATTTGAATCTAATAGATTACCAAGATGTCACCTTATCAATAAAAAATTTCTACGAAGTAAATAATTTTAGAAGCGTGAAATTCAATTTTACAACATTGGTATCCATCGATTCTCAGTGGCAATTCCTTTTTTTTTGAATTAAAAACATTACGTAAACATGAAAATCACTGTTTTCTATGAGCTATATATAAATTATACCACTACCCCAGTTACTCATAAGTACCAATTCGTTATTACCATTTTGGCAATTTTTTAGCATTTTACAATTTTTCACTCATATAATAATAATTACAGTTTTTTTTTGCTATCACTTCTAAAAATATACAGGTTATTCTTGAACTCGTGCACATTTTTGGTACTACCTGTCCAATTTTTTTTAATACCATATTGTAAATTGATTAACGACTCTACCTTCTCCCAGATCTTTTTCTTATACACTGATATTGTACTTGAACAAATTTAAGCATCCTTAGACAGTGACCCCTTGTACCTACTACAGCAGCGACATCCCTTACCCACCTTTTAATTTTAATACAATAAGACGTTGATAACCGTATTTTTCAAATGTGAAAATGACCATGACAGGTTTCTTAATCTATTTGTTTTAAATGTTTTTTTTTACATAGATTATTTTAATTAACTGAGTGTGTAATCGTTTATTGTTTCAATTTGTTTTGCAACTAGGTAAGTCATTGAAAATGAAAATACATAAGGTAGCCGAAGATATTGGTATAAGATATCCTACACGTATTAGATAAAGATTAGGTAGTTTGAGTTTTTACTGGTGAAACAGACAAAGCAGAAGCGCTTTTAGAAAATATTATTATTTTTCTGCACAATATAAGTTGTAGGTAGGTATATCGTATCTTATGAAGTATTGAAATGTTGTTTATAATGTTTCCATTTGTTTATTTATTTTCTCCCTGTGGGTAGGTGTATTATAATTGTATGAATCCTTGGGGATATTTTTTGCTTTACCCGTGAATGCAGGGAATTATGAATAGATTTTCTGAACCAATAATTGATGATTAAACTTATAATAATAATATTTACTATGCATAATAATTGAAAACTTCTCTAAACTATTGAATCTCAACGATATCGAATAAATATAAATTTATACTCTACTTTACCATTTACGTACTTACTTATTTAATATGACTTAGGTATATTTATGTATATAGCAAAATTGTATAAAATGTTTATTTTTTACATTAATGTATGTATTCTTCTGTATACTTCCCTTATTAAAATTAAATGTATTTATTGTTGTAGGAAATCTCACGAACTCGTCAAAATAAAATTGCCTGTTTTTGTTCACGTGCAATTCATTAATACGCACTTGCTCATCTTGTTTACCGTCTGACCAATACAATATTTTTATTCATAAAAAATAACTATTATTAGAATAATTACTTTTCAAGAGTGATGTATTATATTATTATGTGCATAGTTATTAATTATATATACTGAAGTGAAATTCAGTGTGTAAGTACCTATATATAGTTATAGTTACCTACTATTATAATATCAACAGTTCGTACACGAGCGTGTGTATTTGTTTTCCTTTAACAAACAATTCAATTAAAACTAATGTTTTTTGTGCAACCAGTAGATTTGTTATGAATTATTAATAATCATGTTTTAACAAATCCGAGGCCAACTGTGCATCGAACAATAACCAGGATTGTTTGAATGGTCTAGTCGATTATTATATTCTGGGTGTTTAAACTTGAGTATTATAATATCATACATAATTAATAAATTATAAGCCACACAGTTTGCCTAATCCGAACTTCGGATAACATTTTCGTATGGCAACTACACGGACATGCCGATTAGACAACATATTATAGCCTTAATGCTCGTGCACACGAGTTATAATTTTATACACTTTGTGCCGTATACGTTTATTATAATTATTCAGAAGTGACGAAGAAACTTCCGAATAGACGTAAAAAATAAAAACAAATAATTAGGTATGCAACGGGTTTCGTTTTAAGCACTTGAATTATTATATTATTATTATACAAGTGATCCATTTTAGTGTATTATGTACATAATTAAAGTATATTATTACACTATTATATTATTATGTTATTTTTCAAACAAATTATATTTTTCTTGAATCTAAAGTTTAATTTGTGATGAAATTACTAATTCATAAGCAAAGTGCTTATACAATACTTATAAGTTCTAACTAAAATCTAACAGTTTGAAATCCAAATGGTATACCTAACAATTCTCAGACAAATATTCTCCTTTATAATATGAAATAAATATGAATTTTGTCTTTCAAAAAGGTAAAAACACCTAATAATTATGAAGACAAATAGTAAAATATGTTTTTTTTAAAACATTGTTTGGTAAAGTATTCAAATTAAAATTTTATGAAAAGAAATATTTTAAAAAACGTTTATACTCAACAAGATAAATGTTTTCTGTTAAATAATTACTCTGTACAATAACTAAATGTTGCTATCATAAAAATTAAATGCTTATGGATATACGTTTTTATAGTTTTGTGTCGAAAAAATGGAATAACTTCTTAAATGCAACAGCTAATTTATGTATTTATTCAGTTTAATAAATAAACATTAGACGTATAGTCGTATAGACATAAATAATAAATTGTGCCATTATAGGTACTATATATTTTTTTCATCAGAAAATTTTACAATATACCTACCTAATAAGTAATAACAATAATAATGACTCGCCAACGATCTCACAAATGACTCTTTGGTAAGTACATTGACTTTGACACTTTGACTACATGACGTTAACATGTAGGAACATGCTAAATTTTTGATTTATTTACAAATATTATTATTTATTATAATATAATGAATCTATTAATTGCAGGCAAAATGTATAAGCAAAAATATAAAATATATACCTCACTAAAGAAAATTTTAGTAACGTAAAACTGTAAACTTAACATAAAAAAGGAATTTGATAGTTTGTATGTAATGTATAGTATATACATTCAGCATTGTATAGTATAGTAGGTATATACATTGTATATATTATACTAATATTACTAATACTATATAGTTTACCTATTTATAAACATATTATATAGTACCTATACATATATAGGCATATCATACCTAAGTTTAAAACAATTGTCGAAAAAAGGTATTTTTACTTAATAAATTAGTTTTGGAATCGTTATTTTTTATGTCAGTGAAATGGGTCCCCCAACTTTGTCCAATCAATTTCAAACCTGTACCTACAAATATTTAGGGCCAAATTCACTGACATTAATTTTTTCAGGAATTGATCTTAATTGTTAATGTGATACTCTTTATTATTTTCTAAACTTACTCTTTCTATAAGGCCCAGCTTTTCAAACGTGATCCAGGATGGCAATAACTTGTTGCCTATAGTCACTAATGGACTTTCGTAACCAAACATGAACTCCTTAGCCGTTTGTCTGATAAATGGTTTGGATTTCGTTTGGCGAATAATTAGATTGACACCCATCTTGGTGATCATAGAAGATTCTGACACAGCACTGGCAAAACTCTATAAACACACAACGAGAAAAATAATTGTATAGACATAATTCTAGGATTGGAAATTTGATTATACTGCAGAACAATAATAATTGTTAATTAAGTATTATAAAAATATTCGTTGGTCTGAGTTTCAAAAATCCAAATCTTTAAATTAGGGGTCTGAAATCTACGGCCTTCATAGTTCATACCAATTTTATGTGGCCCGAAATTAAAATTGATAATGTATATAAAAACAGACATTATGTATAAAAACGACTAACTAAGATGGAAATATGGACTGGGAAACGGTGGATTAAAACGTTTATTTGTAGATACCTTGTTAAATGAATATATCTATCAGACATCAGTTAAAAATTAATTAAACAAAAATTGATATGACCATACATTTTTATTTGAAACAAAATAAGAAAGGTATATTAGAACATTGTGGCCAGTGAAAAATGTATATTTATGTTTTGGTTTTTGACATCAAAAAGTTTCCCAACCCTTGCTTTAAATTATAATAGTAGTATATAATTTGATGTAACTATAATATGCTAATTACCATTTGGTTGAAGCTTTATACATTTAACAATTAAAAATGTATAGTTATAGGTACTCAATTTTTTTTATTTGATATCAATAGTAGGTTACATTAAAAAATATTTAAGGATTAATTATTTTTCTCTATCTGTTTTAATTATGATAATGTGACAGAGATAAGTCACTAAAAAACGAGTGAGGACGGAGTGTGTACTTTGGTTGATATGGAAGGTTTACCACGTACGTAAAGATGGTGCTCTGACTTTGGCGTAGCAACTCTAAAATATCTTCACCAATATTTCGGGAGTTAATTTCGAGAATTTGAGAGTTCACTTTGCCGTTTGTGACATTTTTTATCGAAATTTAAGAGCGACACGGGTGGGTTACGTGGAGTTGCACGCCATATACTTATTTTTGTCTGCAGTAGCTTATAAACGGGCAACTCGCAAATCCTGAAAGCAATAACTAGCAAATTCTGGCAATCAACTCTTTAATAGTTTGCAAAATATGGGTGAAGATCTCGAGTCGCTACGCCCAAGTGGGCGGGCCAACTTCACGTATAAGTACTTCAATTTACCGAGCTTCAAAATAATTATTCGTTCGTATGGCAATCGGATCATCGGACATATTATTTTGACCGGTACCTCTGTCCGCATTTGAGCTTAATTTATTATGTCTACAGCAGTAGGTAACATGGCCGATGGATCTGTGTCATTAAATAATATTTTATTGTATCGAATAACTTACCATGAGAGCAACGTTTGGTAATATAAACACGTCCTCTTCTTTTCTAGTATTCAGTTCCGGCACCCATTTCAATGTGAATACAGGAGTTATCGTCATCGTATCGTTAGTATTAAACGTTACGTTTGTATGTGTAAAAATTTCCCTGAAAATAATTCAATCTTACTATTCAAATATAAAGTAGGTAGGTACATGCGTTATCAAATGAATCGTTTCAAATATAATCAAATAAGGTACATACAGTACAGCTATAGGGATAGGTATATCATTTTCAACTGGTAGATAGGTACCTAATAATACACTAAGCAATGTTAATAAATAAATGCCGGTTTAAAGTTATGACGTATTGTATAGCTAAGGACAATATTGATCTACTGTATGTTGAGGTAGTTATAACAATTAAATATAACTGGTATTAGAAAACGAAATGTAAGTCAATTTATAATTATTCACATCATATTTTATGGCCATGATTTAATACTTAATATTTGATATTGCTGTGGAAAGTCATGTTACGTAGTAGGTGAGACATTGAAATATCTTAAATGCTTTTCTATAGAGTCTTAAATATATCATTCCCAACCCCCCCCCCCTCAAGTCGGAAGGTTTCCACAATGGTGGGACAGCTTTTCATGTGATTCAAATGTTGTTATTGATCTCATTTTATCAAATTTACTTGTGCACGTATGCATAGTCAATTTATGTGAAGCACAAAATATTTACTATGCATACGGACCTAAGTGTATATAAAATATAACTAATTGTAAATATACTATTTTATTAAGTAAAAAAAAAGAGGTTGAATAAAAATATATCATCACAATAGCATGATATACGTCAATTCACCGCGGCTAAATTCATCGCGCGTCAATTTATCGTGGTCGCAATTAATCGTACTTTAATTTATCCCCAAATTGTATTATTTAAATAATCACAAAAAATCACAAGAACATTAATCACAATAAATATTGTTTGTATATACATTATTTACAAAATTTACAATTGCAATTGAAAATTATGAGCTATTCCTAGTAAATAGTCTTCGATAGTTCTATTTTCAAAATCATAGCATATTTGCTTCAGACGTTGAGCTTTATCATTGATACTTTTTTTTTGCTGGTGGACATTCTCCAGCTATATATTGTTTGATTTTTATTTTATTCGTGCTTTCCTCTTTTTTCAATGCTAATATAAATTTCCATATACTTGGATGACATTGATTCAAAATCGATGCAAAACAATTGTGTCATCCTTCAACAGCATTATTTGTTCTTGGTAAATCTTCAGAAACCAACGAAAAGCAGTTAAATTTAGTTAGCACAAGCTTAGCACAGAATTTCACATCGACGATTTCATGGTCAGGTTTGGATTATAAACAAATTATATTAATTGATTCTTAAATTAGTAACTCATAGCACAACTATACTTAGGTGCGTAATATTATTATCTATGTAAAGGTGTTATTATTCTAAACAGTAATAATATTATATACATTTCGTAACAGAAGTAAAATAATAGGTTATTTACTTATTATAGTGAATAACAATATTACATCTATACGTCATGTTTCTGATATCCGATTATTAAATAGAATAAATTATTAGGTATAGGTACATGAGCACAGTGTTGTTATTAAAGTAGCCTTAATTAATTGAATATAAATTTTAAGTACCTTTGTAGGTATTGGATTCTATCATGGTTCCCGTATTATTAAGGTTTCTGAATTTGAAATATTTCACTTGACATTTTTCAATTGAAATATTTCAAAATTAAAAATTTCACTCTTCTCGAAATTTTTCAATGAAACGATGAAAAATATTTTTTCTTCTTTTAAACGTGTTCGGTTATAGATGATTAGAAATAATATGATGATTACACATTTAGAAATACATTGTATTAACTAGTTATCTTAATAGCTTATTGTGGATGGACCATATTTAGATTGTATAAAATATTGTTTTATAAAAAAAAGTGCATTCGAATAACGTTCGATAACTATAAGTAGATATTTGACTAAAAATATCATTATAACATTGTAATAATATTATAATTGAATAATTACAAAATGCTGTCTAGGAGTCTATTGTGTATATTTAAATGAAACGTTCGATTTGTCAAGCCGTATAAGGGTTTTCAGAAATCGAATACCTAAGTAAAAATAAAGACAATTTTGAGGAAAACTAGGAATTATGAATTAAATTTGAATTATTTGAAAATCACTTGAATATAACTATTTAAGGTGGGCCGGTGGGTCTTTAGGTCTTCTTGCCTTTTCTATACGTTAAAAGTATCCATTTTTTGACCATTGTATAATAACGGTTATGTGTTCCATAAATTCCGATAACAATTTTTAAAACATATTTTAATATAATATCAAACCTTTACTTTACATCGAATTTTTTTTAACATTGTGATTACTGATTTAAGATATTCATCATATGACTTTAATAAAAATAATATGTATTCAAATTAAATTATCTCTACTGCTAAGCTTTTAGGACTTCAGTTGATATTTGATTTATAGGTTAGGTTAGCTAAATAAAAAATGTATATTAAATAAAATGTAATTTCAATAAAAAAGGTAAGTTAAATAAAAAAACCCTACAAGAAAAAACTAAAAGATAATATCTTCCAAATAAGATATATTATTTTTAAATTTAACTATGCTTTTTTTTATTAATTTTCCTTTAATTTTTCATAAAAATCTAAAAAACCTACATAAAATAAATATCAGCTGAATAAAAAATCGAAAATTCATAAAAAAAAGCCTAGTTAAATAAAAAAATGTCATAAAGGATAAAAAAATCTAAAAAGGATAAAAACAGCATAATAAAAATGTATATTTAATAAAAAAAAATGCCATTTAAATTTAAAAAATTTCTTAATAGGATAAAAAATCTAATATTATATTGAAATATTATTTTTATATATTGATCTTATATTTTTTTATTTAACTTAGATCCTTTTATTAATATTAGATTTTTTATGAAATATCAATATTTTATTCAACTGATTTTTTATCCTATGGTGAAATGTACATTATAAAGCGAAATTATTATATAATATAAAATATAATGGGAATACTATAAAAATCAATCTTTAAATACTTGGTATTAAAATGAACATAACATCTTAATATGTTTTATGTCTGTGTAGTATAATAATAAAATAAAAATATAATGATGCAACACCATTATAGACAACTTAAAAAATTTGAATTTGACCTCAGTACCGAATATTGAATTAAATTTTACTCAGCCGATTTGATAAAATTTAAAAGTAGTTTCCGGGAAGCTATATAACACACTCATTATTTTTTATTTTTATTATTTGTGCGTCTACATATAAGTAATGTGTGTGAATGGATTTTGAACGCATACAATCATTTCCGTTGATTGTAGATAACTGTTTCAAACAGTTTTACAGATATTTCTCTAATGATTTCTCAAATCCACAGTATTATATTTTCAAATATAACGTACCTATATTTTTCTCATCTATAAAATAATTGTATTTGTATCTCATTAAATTTGTTTTTAATCAGTATCGACTATATCGGCTATCAGGGCTCAACTAATCGGTCTCAACAGATTAATATTGTCGATGTAGCAGTTGCGTATTTGTATGTATTTTAAATTCGCTAATATATGAGTATAGATTCGAGATTCCAACAATTATATTATTATTTATTATGTTATGATAACCCTATGTTATGATATTTATGTGTATATTTTTTGTAACATTGTTGCCAAAATTCATCAATCCTGCTAGCGCCTGTATATGGTAGTATAGAATACACACTGTGATAAAAATTGTTAAAAAGAAAACGAAAACGAAATCAAAATTTGTTAAGTTGAAAAATGTGTGACGGTGGTCCTACTTCATAGCACGCTTATCACTCGTAGGTAATAAGTATACGTATATAAAAATGTGTACATAATATTGACCAATATTACCTATTTTACATAGGTATATAATATATGTATCCCCAATATATGTATGCATTATCCCCATATGTGGAACTGTACGTCTATATATAGTATGTACATATACTTAAATACCTTCTTTTTAATTGAGTTTCTAGAAGGTTTAATGCCATATGAATAGTATTTTAGCAGCCGATAGCTTCGGGTACTTATATGTATTGGCATTCACCGATCACTAATTAACCTCACACTAGGGCGAATATTATACCTACTGCAAACTGCCTTGGGATTAAAATAATATATTTTCTAAAAATATTGTAAATATTATTAAGACAGGTTTTTATATAATAATTAGGTATCTATTATAGTGTTTAATGATAAAATTAGTAAAACAATTATACGCTATGTATTATTTTACATGTTTCCATATTTTATTTTCGTTATTTTTTATTATTATAATTATGTTTTTTTCAGTCTAAGATACATATTAACAGCAGTGTTATATTTACGCACTATGCATGATAGTGACGTAGGTACCTACCCATTTTATGTATAGTAATTAGTGGGGTTACTTAATTTTTATTTTTCCTCAAACTATAATCAATTAAATGTTGTAAGCTGCGAAAATTAATGTGATTATATGTTAATAACATAATTAGTATTGAAAAATTCTAATTGTTTAAATTAAATATATTGTGAAAAAAAACCATTAATAGTAAAAAAATAACATTATTATGTAATATCTATCTTTGAGCTTTATCGCATAAAGTCGATCGTGATCTCTCTGTTTTTATATTGTGTTTTCTGTGTATAATCAATTTTAATCAATTTTTCCGTTTGGAAAAAAACTTAGTGATGAAAAGTATACACATTAAAAAGTGTATTGAATAACATTGTGGTTTTGCTGACGTATTATACAAATTAAGAATAAATCATACGTACATATTTACAAAAAGCAACTTAATTCATAAAAAAATAAATATCAGATAATATAATTATACAGATATTTTATTAAAGTGTATGTCATACAAATAACATTAAAAATATTACCATTGTTTGTACCATTATCTGATTGGACCCAACATTTTGAATAAACACTTGAGAATTTTAAAGATTTTAATTAATTAATTTTTCTAAAATAGGTTTTAGTAGAAATCACTAAATTTTGAACTAAAACAATTAAGAAATTCGATTTGGTAGGTACAAGTATATTATAGGTCTGCATATTAATTTTAAAACATAATAATAATCAGAAATAATTAATTAATTAATACATAATACATAATTAATCTTACTTACAGGTAAACATTAATTTTTAAATAACCTATCACTGCATCAATTTTCAAAAAGTAAGGTAATACAAATATGGTAGAACGGTCGACGGCAATATATGTATAATATTATTAAAATATAGTAAGTAATAGATATTATAAGATTGTTTAGTAATTGCGTATTTAATAATTAAATCATTGGCTGGGCCTGCTACATCAATGTAAATAGCTACTTTAGAATTAGTTTTCCGCATTTTATGTGACAGGAATCTTTATATTAGTTTCCTTGAGCTTTATTATTCAACATATCTTTAGATTCTGAGGGGAACGATTAATTTATTGATTTTACAATAATGTGTGATTTTTATTTTTTTTATTTTTTTTGTGTGTCTCTTATCACCTTTTAGGACAGTAAAAGTGCTTGGATTTTCTTCAAAAGTATCTTTTCTGTAAGGAAAGTAAATCTAGTTGGTACTTTGGGGGGTCAAAAATAAAATTTTTCCTGTAGTTTTCAAAAGCGCGGTGAAAAACAAAAGACAAATTAAAGAAAAACTGGAATTTGTACGAAAAACGATTTTGGTTTTTGGTGCAACTCTTAAACAAATTACTTTTGGTACATGAAATTTGGACTGAATGTTTATATTAGAATTTTCTATACACCATAACATTTTCCAAAAATTTAAAAAAAAATGTCAAAAACTAAGATATTTAATAACACTGCCGTCATAAGCCACTAAGCAGTAACTCCATTTTTGTCAAAATCGAGTTTTTGGTGTCTATCGATAGATATTTTAATTCTCTATCGATTCCCGTAATAAAATTTAAGGTTTTTCTTATTAGAAATCCATATAAATTGATAAGAACATAACAAGAAAGACGGTATATCCATGATTTCATTAAGATAAGAAGCAAATAAGCAGTATGTCCAAATACTAGAACAAAAAGCAGTAACTCCAGGGATTACCCTGGAGTTACTGCTTTTTTCCCTAGTAATCGTTGTATTCAGAAAGCAGTATCTCCAACAAAATCCAAATTATTGGTGTAAACTTAACGTCCCAAAATAGAATTAAAATGTATACCATAATGTTACTGATAACTTGATAAGGGAATAATATAATCACAATTTAAAAAAAAAAACACATTTAAACCGTATTTGCTGTGTAATAAGTCACTATAAACATCATATTATTTTGAAAGTACTACATATTTTGTGTACGCGTTACTTATTAAGTGTAAATCAGCTTAAAAATGAATAGCAGATCAAAAAAAATGGTTCAAATGGTTTCCAAAAACCTATATTGAATACAAATTCTAGAATATATAAACATCACTTTACAAACACATGCCAATGATATCAGAAGCCATTAGGCAGTAACTCCAAATAAAAGTGTACTTACTGCTTTCCATCTTCTGACTAATATAAGCCAATAAGCAGTAAGTCCATTATAACCCATAAAAATGTATAAAAAACCTTTTTTTTGTGTTCAGTAGATTCCTCATGAAAAATACAATAATATGAAATCTCTTTAATGTTTAAAATATTATTATTTTTACTCTACGGACTAATTTAGTGTTGAAAACTGTTTTATTGTTTCCTGAACATAACGATTTTTGGAGTTACTGCTTAGTGGCTTATGACGGCAGAACATATATACGTATCTTGAACAATGAACATAATCCCAACTGGTTTTATTTTTCATTAATATGTTATTGTTTATAAATTAACATATTAGATATGGCAGGTAAATTGGCAAGGCTGCATAGTCGCAAATAGTGTTTGTTATTTGGGGGGTGGGGGTAGTGCTAAAGCCTTACTTTTAAAATATTGAATAAGCTTAAAACAAAATGTAGGAAATGTTTGGGGGTGCTCTATTTACATTGTTAGGAGGCTTAGCCCCTAAAGCCTTTCTCCTATTTACACCTATGCAAGGCTGGAAGTTAACTATGTTTTTTAACTTGCTAAGTTAAGTTAATATAGAAAAATGTAAGTTAAGTTTAAAGTTAAAAGTTAATTTAATTTTTTTGTAACTTTAAAATTAGAAAATAAAAGTAACTTAACTTAGTTAAAAATAAGTTTTTTTTTTAAATATAAAATTAATAATTATACCTACCTACTTTTTTTTAGAGCTAACAAATAACATAATAATTCAATAAACGCCTTACAATTTTTAAATAATTGTTTGTAATAAAATTAGTTAGTGAAGGTACTTATATATTTTGTATAATATTATACTTTAATCAATGATAAATCCAATAAAATAATTAATCAATTTTTATGTATTTTTTAACTTAAATGGTGCACAACTATACTAAATATTATAATAATAAAATTAATTATTATTTTTATAATATTCACAATATATTATAATATCGACAACACGTGACACAGTCGAGACTCGTAGACAGACTATACTATTGTTTATGACTTTATGTCCACTACGACTCCATTACTAAAATCAGTAAAATCTATTATCGCCCACACTTTTTGCTTATAATTGCCTATTGGGTGGTTTATTGAAAAATAAAAATGAATCAGCGTCCCGGGTATTTATTTAATCAGGTAAATAGTAAATACAATGAACTACCACGCTACTACGGGTTTGAATTATTTACACCGACGGGCCAAGTTATAGCTGTAATTCTATGAATTAGTAAAACTATAATAATAAGTTATAATATTAATAATGATTAGGTAGGTAATTACCAGGGCTCGGGACTTAAAGCACTTAAAATCATTAAAATAAGCGCTTAAATAAGCACTTAAAAACATCATTATAAGCACTCAAATAAGCATTTAAAAAACTTAAATTTAAGCAAAAATATTTATTAAAAAAAAAAAAAACAATAAAATAAAAATAAAAATTTATCTTTATATTATAAAAAAAATTAAACTTCATTTTCAGGACTGAGGATTTTATGGATTTTCCAAGGGATTTTCTGAAAAATAAAATGTAAACAATATTTACAAATAGTTGAAAAAAAATAATTTTTTAATAAATTTTAATAAATTTTTTTATTTAAATTATTTTTAATTTTAATTCTATCAAAAACAACTTTGCAGTAGAAAACCATAAAAAAGTATGAAAACTGGCCAAAAAAGCAATAAATATCATAAAAACTTGAAATAAGCATTTTTTTGAAAAATCACTGAAAAAAGCAAAAAAAAGCACTCTCAAATTTCATAATTGAATGTGTTGTAACATGACATACACTTCTATAGTACTCTGCTACATTTTATGTCAATCTAAAAAAATAAGCAAATGCTTTAAGTCCCGAGCCCTGGTAATTACTAATGAGTGTACAAACATTACAAACGAGTATAATCTGATACTGAGTAAATTGTTATATTTTTCTACGTGGTTACTCCTATAACATTTCCGTATATAATATTTTCTGTGTGTATGCAATATAATAACTATTATTATAAATTATTATTTACTAATTAATATATAATATTTCGGATTTTTGTTTTTATAAAATTGAATTTATTTAAAATTTGTGGTTTAGAAAAAAAATTAACTAATTATAGTGATAATAAAATTAAGTGAACTCAATTAACACTTATTAATTAAAGTTACTGAATAACATGGGAAAAAATGTAACTCGTTAATTAACTTAGCTAAAAGTAAATAAACTTTAAATTATCAACTCGTTAATGCCCAGCCTTGTTTATTGGAACATAAAGTATAAACCACCACCAAGGCACCAACAGAAAAGTCATTTCCTAGAAGAATCGCCGTAGGTATTAATAGTTTTGTATACCGACTCAGTGGCGTATATAGAAATTATTTTTGAGGTGGGCTATAGTAGATAGAAACTAGCAAGTGATCTATTACTTTGAGGCTACTGTCCATATATATGTTTAACAGTTTCTATAAATATATTCGTATTTGTTATTTTTCAACAGGCTATGAAATATTATAACTTATAATGGTACCTAACAAAATATATTGTCGTTCTATTTAAAAAGACTGTAATTTCGGGGGGGGGGGGGGTGCTGCAGTCCACTAGGCCCACCCCCTATATACGCCACTGTACCGACTATTGTAAAATATTTATGTATTCAGTACCTACTACATGGGCAAGACCCTGTCGGCTATTTCCAATCTTAGACAGTAAAAATAATATTACAATCATTATAATGATAAACTTGATATTGAAATACAATAGAAGACTATAGACAATAATAATGTTATTATATAAGTACATGAGTGTTACGGCTAAATTAAAAATAGTTATCTATCAAAAAGTGTCGGTATTTGTGTTTTTCAAACGACAATACCTTAAATATTGGATATTCACTCGATTTCTCATAAAGCTATTTTGTTATTTTGTTATTATTCTAAAACGAATAACTGTAAATACATGAAAATTATACTGATGTAGTCAAAAGTCAGAAGTATATCTTATAATTTGGTATGTTGAACTAATTTTTACACTACATAATATTATATTAATATTATATCATATATTATTGTTATTCGTTTATAGGTAAGTCAAGCATGTTGTTATTTCAATTTATTTTTTGTGTTTTTGTTAGATCCAGTACGCTCCTCTTGCTGGAATTTAATAGTTTATACATTTATAATATATTATGATGGTATGATACGCTCGCAATACATAGGTACCTACTTCTAAAATAATGTTTTTAAATATGAATTTAACATTCGATACACACCTGTAAACATATGGTCCGACTTCTTCAAACCGCAGTTTTTTGTCTCTCCCAGACAAGAAATCTTCACTGTTCGTTACGTTGAATATGTATACCTTTAAGTAAACATCTGCTGATGGTATTTTCCACATTTCGAACGCCTCGCCACCTTCGGCCATTATGAGTTTCTGAAAACGAAAATATTTCAACGATAACATAATGCGTTTTCGCAAGTTCGTTATTCAATAATCATTATAATTTATGTACAATGTCGCCAAATTATAGGATTGTTTCGAAATATCGATGAATTCGACAATTGATAAACGTCGATTTTATTATCGATCTCTGCAGTGAAAATAGTAGAATAGTGGATACTCCACAGGATTAATGTATTATGCGGACTAGCAGAATTCTCGGGGCCGGAAAGAAAAAAATATTCAAATTTCAGGGTTAACACTGTGGAAGGTCGAAAAATATTATAATATAATATTTAAGTAGGTATAACCAAACGATACCTATCCTAACGAATCAACTAATGAGTCGATAATTCAGCTGATCGGTAAAAATATATAGGTATATATTATAGGTAAAAATATATAGGTATATATATTTTTTGTACTTCCAATTAAACATTCCAATTTTTTGTAATCGATACTGAAATTATTATTTATGAAATTAACATATGTATATTTGAATTGCACATAATTAAAGTTTGCAGTTATCAAATGTCATCTTTTTCCTATTGGCTAAAATAAAATATCATACAAGAACCAACGTCATGTTAGTATTTTACATAATGTATTGAATTCCCCTTCACCCCAACTTCTTTGACGGGTTTAGAACGGGTTACTATTCTTAGGTAGGTATGTACCACAAACACCTACTGTAGGGACGGAAGAGTGTTATTATATTTTACTATTGTAGGTCGGTATTATTATACATTTAAGATATTTTTATTATGACTCAGATCATTTTCGATTGGCATCAGAATAAATAGCCAAATAATAAATACCTACTCACATAAGTATCTTATCAATGTCGCAGCAACCGCAACTACGTTAAAAAAAGTTATTATTATTTTATATTTATTTACTTCCTACCACTTAAGATAAATTGCAATATATTATATAACAAAATGATGACGCGAGGCATCGGACAACTCATCGGGATAACCCCGGTGAATAAATATGTGGCTGGAGAACATTTACTGCAGTAAAGACCAAGGTTGAAATACCATAGTATTGTCTACTATTCGCGGTCACGGTCGTCGTGGTTATCTCCGAATGTGCAGCTAGAAATATTTTAAGAAAATATAGGTATATTACTACTTTACCGGGCACCCTTTTTTTGGCCATTTTTTTTTTTTGAAATGTATGTAGTTAATTACGCTGAAAACGATAGTGAAGTCAGAATTTGGCTCACGGACTTAGTTTTGAAGTTATGGCCTTATAAAGTTTACTATTTCGCGATTTTTACGTATTCGCGCATCACAATAGTTTACTACGACTATTTCAAATATTGATATATTTTTTTTCGATGAGTGTCGCAAAACGTTCCTTATGACCTACTTGAGTTGGTGTTGCATGGCAAGTCGAGAGATATTTTAGATTAGCTGAGCGAAGTGACGTTGCCGAGGAGCGCATCGACTATTGCAGCAAATCGTGTAATCACTGCCCATACTACGACATAACCACGCTGGCAATAAACATACTTTAAAAACAATATTTTTGAAAACCAAAGTTCACCCGGATTGAATGCACGAATAAATAATGATAGTGAAATAGTGAACTTCATTAGGCTATAACTTCAAAACTAAGTCTGTGCTCCAAATTCTGACTTCACCATCGTTTTCAGCGTAGTTAACTACATAAGTTTCAAAAAAAAAAAAAAAAAAAGGGTGCCCGTAAAGTATAAAAGTTCCACTAATGGACTAGCTGTGACCTCGTATAAACTAAATATTATATTATTATAGGTATTCTATTAAATATTATATACTATATAGGGACGAGGAACTTATTAGCTTATTAGATTATTAGCTCTTAAAAGGCTGAGGATCTTTAACAATGATATTTAAGTTCAATAGCTTACAATAGTTGATTTTACAATTTTGACATACATTTTACATTTGATTACAATCAATTACAATTTTGTTATAATATTTATGACATAATACAACCATAATGTAATTTACAATATTTTGCTTTACATTCGTTTTTTTTTTTTTTTAGTTAATATAATAAGAAAATATTTAATTTACCTGAAATTATAATACTAGAAGTGTTAAAATGTTAGTCAAGTGTATAATATATAAATTATTATATAATTATAAGTATATAGTATAAGTGTTTTATTTCCTTTTTTGATTACAATATTATATATTTTCACAGCACTTAAAGAAGAACTTAATCTGTGCAACAGCGTGCTCTTTTTTTCAATAGCACCATCCAATCATTTTTTATAAGCAAATTAAAAAACCAAATGTTTAGAAGCAAATAACTTGTATTGTATATATGTTATTGAAAAAAAGAGCACGCTGTTGCACAGATAAAGTTCTTCTTTAAGTGCTGTGAAAATTTGGTAGTTCTACAACAAATATGGTGCGAGAAAAGTTGTCCCTCGCAAAAGAGTTTTTGCTATGTTGTACATTTGTAAGACGGAGACAACACATGCGGGTGTGGCGTCCTCTTAAGTCAAGAAGATTGTTATTAAACCATGATTTAATAGTATTAAAAATAACATTTGCTTTAATATAATATAATTCTTCTATATTTTTATCATGTATAAGAATAACTGTGTCATCAGCAAAACACATAATTTCAGCTTCTGTATTAATATTAAGTAAACCATTTATGTATAGAATAAAAAATATCGGACCCAAGACTGTTCCCTGAGGTACACCATGGTTGACTGACAAAAATTGACTTAATTTATCATTCATTTTGACTATTTGATGTTTATCACTTAGATATGAACTAATTAGCTTATTTGCAATACCTGGGATTCCCGCATAATTTAATTTCTTAAGTAATAACTGGTGGTTCACACAATCAAATGCCTTCTTAATATCTAGGAATATACCTAATACTTTATTATTTTGGTCAAGATGTTCATGCACATATTTATTAAGAAAAAAATGGGCATCACTTGAAGATTTTCCCTTTAGAAACCAAAATTGATTATTAGAAAAAATGTGTTTTTGTCTAGAAATGATATAATTCTATATTTATTTTAATACATTTTTCATAGATTTTAGACAAGGTTAATGATAGGGAGATTGGTCTATAATTACTACACAATAGTTTATCTCCCTGTTTATGAATAGGAGTAACCATACATTTTTTAAAATAAGTTGGATATGTGCCAGAAGACATAAATAAATTAAATAATATCATTAGAGGGAGGGATAAACTATCAGCAATATTTTTAAGTATAAAGTTTGTGATTCCATATTCAACAAATGTAGAGTGGTCTTTAATTTTTTTTATATATTTTAATATTTCGTCAGGAGTTATAGGAGTTAGAAAAATTGAATCTTTTACATGACATTTAGAATTTAGGTTATCCCAGTTTTCTTTCTTAAAATTATTTTTAGTATATTATTTTCAATTTCATTACATACATTAATAAAATATTTATTAAATTCATTTGCAATATATATACTATCTTTTAATATGCAATCATTATTTTTAATTTCATTTATAATTATATTTTGCTTATTGGTTTACCTGCAATCTCATTGGTAAGTTGCCATATTTTTTTACGGTTATATTTATATTTTTTTAAAACTGCTTGATAATGCATTTTTTTTGCTTAATTATCAAACTAGTAAGTAAATTTCTATATTTTATGTATTTCATTTTTAAATTAAAATCAAATGGACTTAATAATAATTTTTTGGACATTTTATGTTTATTTTTTATAGAGATCACTAAGCACTTGGTTGTCCATGCTTTAAGCTTATTAAATTTATTTGAATTATTAAATGAATTAACATTTTATTTATACGGTATAATGTAACAAAATAACTAATAAGTACTCAGCCAAAGTTTCATGCAATCTGCTAAGATCTCCAAATGGTTTCGAACTTGTAGACGTATTGGACATTGTTTGTGTGACATGTCGATTTTAAGTTGTATTCACCTGACACGATTACACGAATACGTGATGTACAAATATATTTATATATTCTTTGTTTATTTTCAATACATATATTTTATTATTGACCTTATTATTTTTATTTTAACTCGTCGTGTCTACCTATTTTAATTAATTGATATTTACTTAAATAATTCCGTTCATAGAATTGTTTCAAGTTTACTTAGCGTTATAAACATGTTTCCGTACGTTGACCTCGGCTGGTTTTTATTTTTCTTGACTACAAAATGTTATAATATAGTGGTTTCTTGTTTTTAATACTGTATACTGACTATCACTTTATTAGTAATTAACTGTTTCTTAAATTGTATTTATTTTTTCTTCCTTCATAGTTTATACCTGACCTAATAGATTATATTGTTCCGCAATTTCTGATATTATAATATGATTTTTATTACTTTTAAATTTTAATTGAAAGCCATATCAACTGATAATATTAAGTATTATAATTTTCCTTCCGTAATTTGTCTGAACTGTTTACACCAAAATGTATCGCTAGACATTCTAACTCTGATATACAGCGTCATAAGAGACAAAGAGACAACGTCTCCTCACCATGGGCGTAACTAGGATTGAATAGTTACAGGGGTTAGAGTCCTACAAAACCAAATTGTAAAATAAAATGTGGGGGCAAATACCCCCACACTCCCATTATAAGATTCATTGAAATTTATTTGTTACAAAAAGTCCGCTAAAACCAACATTGAATATAAACCATACATTTTTTGGGTCATCTTCCTCCTAAGCATTACTTGATTTTTTTAATTTAAATAAACTGTACATTTTGGTAATTGTATACAATAAAATCTAACGTATTTACGTATACCGTAATCAAAAATAAAAATAACGGCTGTGACAGTCTGTAATAGTACATACCTACATACAGTCTGCGCACAGAAAGTAAATTTAGAACAGACTGAGAATAGGAAAATGATTATATTATAGTAGTATTCAACCACTGTTGTACGAATGTGCGATACAACTAATATAGGTAACTATAATAATTAATATTATAAGAATAGGTATACCAACACGGGACACGGGAAATTATTTAAAGGTAATA